ATACTCTCTAAGTTATGAAGATCTCTGAGCAGAGAGCATAAAGAGGAAGCGAGGGAAAAAACAGGTTTGTGATTTATTTTGAAATCGAAGGAGGTGGGGAAGGGGATGAGAAGAAAAAGGGGGTGTGGAGGAAGGAAGGCAGTGGCATGGATGCCTGGTAGTCCAGATTCCCCTTGGGCCCTAGGCTGCCCTCCTGGCTGCAGAGAGTTGGTTATGATCGCCTTCCGGCTGCCTGGTCCCTTGCCCCGTGTAGGACAGCCTGCAGCCCACACAGATTTGTGCAGGGCCATCTCCCCTCCACTGCTTGCTGTGACTGCAGTGTGACTTCCTCCACTCCCCACAGGAGCTGTACCCCTGGAGCACTGTTGGGGAACCCCGTGCACAAATCCCTACCTCTGTTTCCAGAGAACCTCACCTAAGACGGGGAAGAAGCAAGGTTTTCAGTGTTTTTAAGGGGTGGACCATTTTATCAAACCTAGAAAAGCACACAAACCAAAACAAGCCATGGAGAGACCTTGGCGGAATCCTTATCATTCAGCATTCGTGCACATTTCTGAGTGTATTCCGTGAGTCCTAACTAGAGTGTCGCCAGGCAGCATCTTTCTAACTGCTGTATCTTCAATTCTTTCCTATTAGTCTAAAGATTAAAGGGTTTTTAACCTTTACAAAAAATATCCAATGTTAGAAATTCTGTTAGACCTCAAGGTTAAAGTCACCGAATTGCTTTAACTGTGAGGCTTCAGGACCTTTTAAAATCAAAAGGATCTCCATAGCTACTTCATTTTTTATTTCATTTAAGTCAGTGATTTTTTTCTTTTACACGCTCGTTCTTTTTTCCCTTCCTGACGGTAACTCCAGTTACTTTAAGGTAACATTTTAATTACTTTTTCTTCTTTTGCATGTGGACAAGAAGGCAGCCCTGCTGGGCCTGTGTCTCAGGACCTTATATCCCATGTCTTCTCACTTGGAGTTTAGGGCTAATTTCTCCAGCCACAGTCCATTCAATTATTTTACAATGTACCCACTGGTGTAGAATGTTCCAAAAAGCCTAGAAAAAGTGTGTTAAAACCAACCCACTGGTTCTCTTCAAAGGCCCTGAATTTGCTGTATGTCTTATGTACAGACATTGAAAGCTGCCCAAATTAACAAGTCAGGGAAACACAGACACAGGGCTTTCTATGCACAACTATGCATTTTAGAGGTCCGTGCCATTGGGGTCTGACTTTATAAAAATCCAGTGCTGACTTGCAGAGCTCATCTGAGCATGGGTAGGTAGCATTCAGCCTGAGTACAGACCTCAGCTCTGTCACTTGTCAGCTGGAGAAGCTGGGCAAGGTCTTAGCACATCTGTTCCTCAATTGTCTTCATCCGCAAAGTAGACATGATAAAAACAGTACTGACCCCTTTGGGCTGGTACAGGGATCACACAAGTTAATTCCCACCAGGTGCTAGACCAGTGTCTAGATTCCTTAATACCACATTATCATTGAGGTAGAGATCACACTGTGAGTGATGGTGAGCTTTCTTTGGAGACTTTGGCAGTAATTTATAAATGCTTGGCATTCTGCCCGATATTGAGGGGGTGGGGGGGAGAGGAGGGGGCGGAGTGGGTGGTAAGGGAGGGAGTGGGGGCAGGGGGGAGAAATGACCCAAGCATTGTATGCACATATGAATAATAAAACAATAAAAATAAATAAATGCTTGGCAAGAAAAGCAGCTATCTTCCCAAAATTTTAATGACATTCAGCTGGACTCTTCAGGTTATAAACTGCTCTATCTTTATACTCTCTGATTATTCTTCACCTCAACTCAGTTTTTTGAATATCCAGATTTTACCTGTGTACCATCTTTTAAATGACTTGCTTTACTTTCATTCTAATTAATTGTTAGCTCTCTGGTTCCAGTCTTCATTTTGCCTTGTCTGGCCTTCTAACTGATCTACTCAGTCCAGAACCATTAATGGCTCCCCATTGTCCTGTGTGGTATTCTAAACCCTCCCAACATTTACCTCACCCAGTACTCCCTCCTTCCCCATTGCTGACCTACAGTCAAGTTGAGCTACTTTATTCTTTCATTCCATCAATACTTATTGGGGTGCTCAAAAGACAGACTCTGCCTTCCAGAAGCTTGCTATAGAGTGGGGAGATAGACATAAGTAATGAAATCCTAGTATTAAAATTGCTAAATTCAGTTACAAGTGAAATGCAGAAAGAATGGTGAATTCTGCCTGGGCGAGGAAGAAAGGGTCAAGGAGGTCTCACCAAGGGCCAAGAAAGGGTCAGGTGATGTGCTAAAAGTTTTCCTTTACAGCTTTATGGAAGTACAATAAGCTGTATATGCTAAAAGCTTACTACTTGGTAAGTTTGATACCTGTGAGAACATCCTCATAGGCAAGAGAATAAATATATCCCTCCAACATTTCCACCTGCCTCTTGGCAATCTGTTTCCTGTTCCCTCTTCCCAAAAAACCCTGCTCTGCTTTCTCTCACTATAGGTTGTTTTGCATTTTCTACAATTTTATAGAATCATACATTATCTACTTTTTTGTCTGTTTTTTCTCACTTGGCATAATTATTTTGTGATTCATCCAGGTTACAGTGTGCAGCAATGGTCTGCTTTTTGTTGTTCCAGTAGTATTCTATTGTGTGGATATATCACATTTTATTCACTTGTTGATTGACATTTGGATTGTTTACAGTTGTTGGCTATTGGCTATTCCAAACAAGGCTTCTATAAACATTCATGTGAGAACCTTTGTATGGACATAGCTTTCATTTTTTCTAGGCAAATGCCTAAGAGTAAAATGTCTGGGTCTTAGGTAGATACACGTTTTACTTTTAAGAAACTGCCCGACTGTTTTCTGAAATGGTTGTGCCATTGTTCATTGCCGCTAGCCAGGTCTGACTGTTCCAGTTGCTCCACACAAAGGGTTTTCTGTGGTCAGGGAGTAAGATGAGAGTGAAATTCAGGGAGCATCAAATAGTCCTAGTGACAGAAGCAACTGAGCAAGTGACAGGTGGGGTGACGACGCAGTTTTGTCTCAGGCCATCTCACAGAGGGCTTTGGTCTTTGGAGTGTGTGATCTAGGCAATGCAAAGTTCCTGAAGGTTCTTTCTGGCATGTCTCTGGCCACTCCATGCAGTTTCCCATCTTTATACTCCTCTCCTCTGTGCTGTGTCCTTCCTTAGAACATACTCATCTACAGTCTTTATGATGTCTGTGAAAAGTTTAAGACCCAACGGAAATGCTACCTTGTCCTCAAGTTCGTCCTTCAACCTTGGGTTTCCTTAACCTTTGAACTTTGCCATAACCCAGAGTCACACTGCCCCTCCAACTATGGTCCCCTATTGAATTCAGTCCTCTATTTCATCTGAGGTCTCCAATAGCAGAGGATGCCTTGTTTATTCAACACTACCCATAAGACCAATTGCTTTTAGAGGCTGTATCTCTGGACTCTTTTCTTTTGGTTTTATTTTTATGTAAATCCAAGATAAAATAACATTTTAAATCAATGAAGGGATAAATCTCATTGCTCATTTCACTGAGACCAAAAAGAGATGTGGACTGATTCCAAGAAGGAAAAAATTGTTCTGCCTCTCCCAGCTTCAGTTGGCTTAACTATCTCATCCTCCACCCTTTGCTCTTTTATGCTCGCTGGGTCTCCCTCACTCAATTGTAGCAAATTATGTAATTAGTGAAAGAGCAACAATTTTTCAGAGAAAATGGTTATGTGTTTATGCAAGTTCAATGGCTCAAAATGTCTAAGGAAACCATTTACTAAACCCAGAAAAAGAAAACAGAATTGGGCCCTAGCCAACTCAGGAGCTGAGAAATATTCACCATAAAGGAGCCCATTTTGAGACACTGCCCAAGTGCCCATCCTGGCTGGGCCTCAGTGCCCATCTCTTTCTCTCCTCTGTGTTGACTTGGAGCAAAATAATCAACCACAGCAGAGTTGCCCAGGAAATGGTACTCATGTGGCTTTAAGCAGTCTAATCAATGACTTTTGCTAAATTCATCTCTTTCCAGCTCTTTCTCATTTTTCCCAAGACATTCAAATCATTAGAGAACATTGGACCTAACCACTATTCTCTGAAAACCTTACATGGTATCCCGGGGTTTAGATTATGCATTTGCCTTGTGTGTTTTATTTTGGAAACTGCAGGCTTTCTGTAATGCTGGGGCACCTTCTTCCTTTTGCCCACCCAGACTGGAAGGTGCTTCCAAATTCTAGCCTTGTTCAAGACAACAGTCATCCCAGAAAATACTGCTGTTGCTTTAGTGTGTGTCTTGGTCATGGGAAGTGCGAAAAAACACTAGAGATAAGGGTTTGGCTATTTTATTATTTTTTTTAAAAAGTTCTGTGGTTTTGACACTGAATAGGTCTAGAGGCAATGAAGTTGGTGGGTTTAGCTGGGGGCAGGCTAAAGGATTCCAGATGAGAAGACCAGTAAAGTTCACTTCACTATCCTGAGGCAGCAGGAGCCTTCAAGAGAGGGCTCCATATGTTTCGTTAAATTGACAATTTCCTTTAGCAGGAAATAAAGGTTCATACGGAGTTTCAGACTAACTACAGAGTAAGAAATCGCTTCACTTTTTAAAGACTCTGCTTTAGAAGACATTCAGCACATAACCTAATTTCGCTTGATGGAGTTTGTTTTTCCTTCTCCATTTGCTGCCTAGAAATGTGTTTCATGATCTCCTGTTGAATTGGGGCTGAGAGGGTAAGCCAGGGAGTCAAAAGCACGCTACAAAATAAAATATTAGAATTAAAATAAATAACGAGAACCACCCCAGTGGATTTCCTGTTGCGAGCACTTCCCCCCCCTTTGATCCCCCAACCCTCAGCTGTACCACCTTCAGGACTCTTGCCTGGACCTTCCAGATTCCACTTCACAAGTATTGGGAGAAGAGAAAACTCAAAAGAGCCAAAGACAACGCCTCAGCACAAACGCAGAGGTGCGTGGGTTTTCTTCAAGGGAGCGTGCCTTCCATTTAAGAAGTTTTCATCTCTGATGCTCCTTTCAGGATGCATCCTATTGACACTTGGTTTTAGATTTTCAAAATGTAAACCTTCCACAGTGATTCTAACATGAAGACAGGATTTTTATATTTTAAAAAAGTAATTAGAACAGAATTTGATTTCCTGGAATAAAAAGCATGAATTCAGAATCATCTTTTTGAATACTGATAGGAGAGGAAGAAACAACTCAAAAGCAACAAGAAGGATGTCAGCCTTTTAATTGAGCAAGAATAACGATGCAGTTATCAGGGAGGAAAGACACACATGGCTGAGTCTCTTAGTAGCATGGCCATCAATGTGGCATCCTGTGCCCCTGCAGGTGGAAATGAACTCACTTGACATCACACAAGAGGGCCACTCCTCTCAGGATCCAGTGATCTGGGGACAACACTGTTCGCAAATATACCACAGTGATGAATGTCAGATCAGTTCGCCTGGGTTTCTTGTAAATAGGACATACGTACAGCTTGGGGTCCTTGGGTGCCGTGGAGTTAATGGCAAAGATGTGAAGTACAGGCAGCTGCGTGAAGAGCACCTTGGGGGTGGATTCTGTGAGCCTCCCATTGCGCCTGTCCCAGCCTGCTCCGTCCATATAAAGTCCATAAATATATACACCTTCCTGGAAGAGTCAAGTGCAAGGGAATAGGATTTTTAAAAAAGAGCTTCAAGATGGGCATCCATTATTGCAATAAAGGTTTGTTGGTTTGGAAAGAAAACGTATGGCAGTCCTAAAATGCTACCAGAAGAAGAAAACACATCACATTAGTGAAATATTGGGCCTCATTTCCCCCTGTGAATATAGGGAGGCTAGCAGCACAGTAGAAATGTCTTGCTATTGGTTACTGGAGAGTGGGGGTGGCCCGCCTAGGCAATGGAACTGTTGAACATCTCCAAAGTCCCCAAAAGATCTCAGCTGGTGCCACGTGGGGTCTCAGGCTACAATGGCCAAGCCCACCTGTGGCTCAACTCCATCTCAGCCATAGGACGAAGTGGAATTAGAGCGCCCCCAGAGGCCTGGCATGGTACTCCAAGGGGGGCATGAAGGAGCAAGGAACAGAGAGCTTTTCTGCAAAGTGGGACTCTCCTCCCCAGTGTTTTCTCATGCAGTTGGACCATGTATGGTTCTCACCGTACATGGGAGAGATAAGATACACACCAACAGGGAAATAAAAATTAAAATACCCAAACTGCATAGTAGTAGACACTTATTAATGGAGCCGCGTGATGAACAGTTAGTTCTGGACTTCTGAATAAAAAGGTCAGGTGGGCTGGAATGCTTAGGGGCTTTTGTGGAGGGGCCAGTCTTTAAGTGAGCCCTGAATGTTGGGCTGAATTTGGAAAGACAGAGGAGAGAGGGCAGCCATCCTAGGCAAAGCTACAAAGAAAGGCAGGATGGGTGGAGAAGCCCAAGCATTAAATTTAGCAGAGGGTTCAGTGGTTATAAAATAAGGTAGGGCTTGACTATGGATGCCAAGATGAAGAGTGTGAACTTTATCTTGCAGGCACTGGGGAGCCACAGAACATGTACTCACTATAAAAAGAAAGGGCCAGAGAGAATCGCAGGGAAGCTCCAATAATCATGCAAGTTCATAAACTGTATTTATGGAGAAGCTGGTGACCATTTATCCATTTCCAGTGAAGATCAGGTAAAGGGAAATAGTGTAGATTATAATAAAGGACTGGGGATTAGCTGCAAAGCATTTCCTGGAATCCCTCGGTGGGCTAACAGTGGGAGAACCATAGTTTTTGAACCACAAAGGAGGCACGTGGTTTGACAGTGAAATCATGATCAGTCCCAGAAAATCAAGACATAGACTTCCCATTATTAGTTTAATGGTGGACAATTACCTCCAAGAACAAGGTGACCACTAGAGTCATCCTATAGTAAACTAAATCTTTCTCCAGGGTCCTTTTAGTCTCAGGACCCTAAGAGTCATAGTTAGAAGGTGCAGCAGACTGGAATAGTATCAATTCAGAGCCTCCGAATGCAACTGTTTGGAAATGAGGACTTTGCAGATGTAACTGGTTTAGACAAGGACACACCAGGTTAGGGTAGGCCCTACATCCACTATGACGTCCAATATAAGAAGAGAGGACACATGGAGATACAGATAGGGAAGAATGCTTGTGACAATGTAGGCAGACACTGGAATGACGCAGCCACAAGTCAACCTACTGCTAAGGATTGCCAGCAACCATCAGAAGCTAGGAGAAAGGAATGGAACGAGACTCATCCCCAGAGCCTCCCTCTAGAAGCAACTAAACCTTGCTAATACCTTGACTTCGGACATCTGGCCTCCTAAATTGTGAAGGAATAAAGTTCTGTTGCTTTTGGCTACCCAGTGTGTGATATTTTAGGAAACAATTACAGATATTTAAAAAAAAAAATACAGATTTGACACCAGGAGGCCGGTGCTTCTGTAACAAATACCTACAAATGGGGAAGTGACTTTGGGATTCCATAAGAGGTAGAACTGGAAGAACCTTGAGGCACAAAATAGAAAGACTCTAAATTATCTTGAAGACAGGGTGGTGGAAATACAGTGGCTAATGGTGTTTGGGGTGAGGTGTCAGAAGGAAATAAGGAACTCATGATTGGAGCCTGGAGAGAAGATGACTGTGGTCATTAAGTGAAAGGAAACGCAGTCTGAACCGGGAAGTCATCTGACCTGCCCTCTTATTTGATGAAGGAATGAAAGTTAGAGAAAGGGAAAAGGGCACTGAGTATCTATGTGGGGTGTCCAGCTCCAAGCCCACGTGATCCCATTTAAATTCTCACAACTTCCTTCACTTAGGTTCAATTGTCATGCTTATTTTACAGATAAGGAAGTCCAAGTTCCTCAAGCAGATCAGTGTCTACACAGTGGCCCAGAGTGCCTGCCCTTCCCCAGCAAGGTGTCTTTCCACTCATAGTCCCAAAGTATAGGAGGACACTGCTGGAACCGGCCCCAGCCAGTTGGTCTCTACTGCTCTCAGTGGATCCTGTGAGGAGCCCACAACAGTAGCTGGAGACCAGTGGAAATCTTTCTACACAAACACAAGTGGAACTTGTAATTATGAAGAAAAGTTGCATGGGGAGAGCCAAGGCCTGCTAGACTTTGTTGTTAACCTCTCACTCTGGCAGATGGAGGAGGCTTTGGCATTGAGGTCTCCTGGTTAAGGGAAGGAACACCTGCTGCAGAGCACATGGGCTTAATGAGCACTCAAGGTCACTTTTAAGCAAAACTTGCACTTTCATCCTGGCTTCAGAATTGTCCCTGTTTTACCTACCACAGGAGGTGACACGATTTCCTCCTTGGTTTGCCGCAGAACATCATTGTGAATGGTCACTGTGTCCAATGCCCAGCCTTTGTGGGCACGGGTTACTTCTTGTCTCATTGCCGTGAGGAAGCCTTAAGAAAAAAAAAAAAAAGACATTGGTGCCTTGGTGCTGTCCATATTAAAAAGACAGCAGAAGCAATGCTAGGTGTTACCTGGTAATCAAACTCCAAACTGCGTGCCCATCCCAAAAGAAGCTGAGACCAAGCCCCAGGGGGCCATTTATCCCAGTGTTTTGTTTCTATGGGGACTGTGATGAGCTAAATCTTTCCTGTTGGCTGAGAGCAGAGCAGCACCCTTTCAGCCTCAGCCTGAGCCTTGGTTTGAGAACCTTTTGGGATTCCAAATGCTCAAATCCTAGGGTCACAAGTGGTCCAGACCATAGTCTCTATTCAAAAACAGTATCAAATGTGTGACCGGAATGGTAAAGTATTCTGAGAAACAGCGTTCCAATTAAACCCAAATCAAACCATTATCAAGCTTCTATTTGCTATAATGGAACAATTGCATTGAGTCTAAGGAAATAAGGCATAATGCCATAATAGGAAACCTGACTTTCAATTTGATCAAACAAAGTAATCACACCGGAAAGGAAAACTACATGTTTTAATGTGCATAATACAGTTATTTTAAGATAATACGTGGCTCCGTAGCTTGTGGCTTTCTTTAAACTTAATATTTGCAAATCTTGTCATTCAACTCAATAAGAGAAGTCTTTCTTAGAGAGTGGCATTTGGTGTTAGAAAAAGAGACCCTAAATTGCAAAGTGGACTTCAAAACTCTAAGTGTTATCTGTGACTTATCTATTCTATTTTTGGCCTTCAGGTAAATATTGAAAATCCTGAGACTCTGCAGTGAGTAAAATTTTGGAATTTGTATGTCCCTACGACTCTTAAGTTAGTGAACTCTGAGAGCTGAACCAACACATTCACAAAGCAAAATGTAAATGACAGTATTTTATCAGGTTTGAAAGTGAGTAGGGGAAAGAAAGAATACAGCCCTAGCTTGGCTAGGCTCTTGGGAGAGATCATATGGATATTCTTTATTCATCTGTCATCTCTGTGGAGTGGCCACCGGGTACCAGGCACCACGCGTGGTGGGATGACCACCCACAGGCCTGCATTGAAGGCACTGAGTGTGGACGGCATGTGGAGGGGGCAGGGTTAGCACATGTTGTGTGAATGAAGGTGGGAAGAAGGCTCAGGAAGACAACTCCAGGAAGGTTTCCTTGAGAAGATGAAGCTGGATGCTACTTTTGAAAAATGCAAGAGTTTTCCAGCCTGGGCAACACCACTTAGGGAAATGGTATGTGAAAAGGTAGGGAAGCGTGGGTGCCTGGGAGACAGTGATGCCAGATGAGGTCAGAGCAAAGGCAGAGGCGTGATTTTTCAGAATTAGAGTTTGGGCTTGCTTCTTGTGGGTGGTGGGAAGCAAGCAGACATTTAGAATAGGCAAATGATTTGGTTTTTTTGAATCTTAGAAAGCTTAAAGCACCCTCTGTAACAGGATTTGGGGTGCTAAAGAAGGGCCTTTGCATTCATCCAAAGGAAAATTTTGTCAATCAGCCAGTGTGGAAAAGGATGATTTTATGGTACAAGGTGTCAATTATAGGAACAGGAAACATAGTAGAAATTCACCTAGTGGCAATGGTTGGTTACTGCCTGAACTCTTCCTGGAGCCCATTGAAGTGATCTGTTCAGCATGTGACTCTGTTTCTTTTTGAGTTTTTTTTGGTGGTACTGAGGTTTAAACTCAGTGCCTCACACTTGCTAGGCAGGCGCTCTACCACTTGAACCACTCCACCAGCAGCATGTGATTCTTTTGACTTCCATTTTAAACACCGAGGAGGGTGTCCCATATTTTAATAATAAAACATTTTGTGTGTTTGTCAGTCACTGGTACATAGGACTGCAATAATAAAATCCAATTCACCCTTCCAACTCACTCCATGAATATGTCATTTTCATCATTTAACATTAAGCGTAGGGTTCATCTTTGTGGTGTTTCAGACACCGTATATCCAAGTAGAGCACCCAGAATTAAACTGACCCTATTTTATGGTATTTTAAATTTCATCACTGATCTATGAATCTACAAGGTCACAGTGTACAAGGAACAAATCCTGGTCTTAACCATCTATCTGCACAAGTTGAATAAAATTCAATTTTTTCTATAAGATTTTGTTTCAGCTAAATTACAGATTTGACCTCACTCCATATGGCTCTCTGGACAATGCTGAAGGTTTTAGATAAAGAACAAGCTGGATTCTCTCTCATGTAACAACTGGTTTCAAAGATTTCAGTCATTGTCAGAGAGTTCTGAAAAGTCTGGTGCAATTTAGGAGACACCACTTCCTGTCTTCTCCCCCTGGGGAGTCTGCACCATATTGTCTGGCTGACTTTAACAGTCAGACTCAGTTTTTAGGAGGCACTCTCAGCATGTCCGCAGGTGGAATCTAGCACCCTTGTCAGCCTGAACTATTAAGAAAGGAAAATATTAAATAGATACACGTGAGGCCTAAATGTGGTGGGCAGGACCTGTCCCATGGGTCATTCCCTCTCAGAGAACATGGAGAAGACAAATTTTTTTCAGGTCTTAATGTTTTTATTTGGGCTTCCTAAAAAGAACATGGTCTTGTGGCATTCATGGGGTAGTGAATCTACTGAAGTGTTCATTGTTGAGTTAAAAAAATCATCTTTCTTGGAGACTGATGCCAAATCTATTGGAATCAGAAGCTATTCCTTCTGAAGCCTGCATAATTTTTTTTAAAGACTATTAATGTAGTTTTCTTTGTAAGAGTTTGAAAATCAAGTACTTTTGGTTTTGCATGTAGTTTTAATCATTCTGAAAGTGGCAAAAAAGTGATTCATATGTTTGAAAGAAGAAACAAAAAATTGGGGAAAGTCTTCAACAATAAGATTTAACCACCCACATGCAAATGGATTATTTGATTATTTAATCATCTTAGTGACATGATCTAAATGTGATGCTTAAAAAAATTTTCCCTTCAAACTCATAAAGCATAATGAATTCTTAACACTCGTCAAGCCTGTTGTTTTTTTTTTAAATCACTTTTAAGCTAGGATTATACTTTGGAAACTCTGGTCTAAAGTGACACTTGTTATTTAATAATTCCTATAATGGTAGTAATCCAACATTTCAACCAATTACTATTTCTTGACTTGTGCAATCAGTTGGCCTAAAGAAAGCTGTGGTGTACTTTAAGTATTATTTCCAACAAGGTCTTAGAAAAGATGAGAGAAATAACTGCTCAGGAAGGCTGCTCTTCTCAAATTTAAAAGGAGTTGTTGGTGTTCTACAATGATGGCCCTATGCCAACAATACGCACCATTTTTTTCTTAAATAAATGAAGCGGTCCTTCTGTAATGGGCCTTAGGTTGTGCAGTATTTCCTGTCTAAACAGTTACCAAGCCTCCCAGTAGTATCTTTGAAGATGAAGAGAAATGATGTTCCTGCCACCAGTTTATGACAGGCAGTTTTTCCCCCAAATGAGAAGCAAATGTAGTTCATTGGTAAGTTAAATAAAAGGTCAGAAATCATTAAACAAAGATGAAATTGACCAACCCAGTGGAATGAAAATGCACTGGGCACCTTTTGGGATTCTTTGCTGGATGCCTCAAGGCAGGCATCTTAAACTGCTGAAAATATGGAATACTGAAGCTTGGGAAACTCCTGACTCCTGAGCACAGACCAGATCAATAAAATCAGAGCCTCTGGCAGTGGGATCCAGGCATTAGCACTGTTTTAAGGTAGGGCTTCTTCACAAACTTCCATGTTCACAGGAATCATCTGGGAGAAGAGCTCTTACTAACATGCTGGTTCTGACATAGGTCATAAGTGGGCCTGAGGTTCCATATTGTTAGGATACAGACATTGCTGGCTGGGGACCACTACTAAGTTTGCGGTGGTCAAGGTTCTTCACACATTAGAATGAGTGAGGAAGCTTTTAAGACAACTGATTGTACAGACTCTGGAGGTCTTTAACCCCAGAGATTATGACATAATTGGTTTGGGCCCCAGGCATTAGAATGGATTAAAAGCACCCCAGGTGATTCTACTATGGCAGGCAGGTCTGAGCAACACCACTCTGTAAAAAAGCTCTTCCAGACAGGTCGCTGATAGTCGCTGACCCACATTTGTTTTAAGAACTAGTTTGGCTAGTAGGAAGGGCAATGCCTGACAGTACAAGTAAAACATCAGGAAGGCTTGTGCTTTTCTTTATGAGCTAGTTCCTTTCAGGGGCCCCAGAGACACACAGGGGCTCTGAAATGTCATTAATCCAAGAGACAGCAGACTCCAGCAAAACCTGAGTGCACAGGAAAGCACTGCAAGTACAGTTGGGACCTACTAACTACATAGTGCCCACGTTCTGAAATGGAATTCCTTGCACCGAACTGTCTTTTCCTTGTGCCTCTTTCTCTTGGCACCAAATCCCACTTCTCCTCTCCCTCTAAGCCTTTCACTCTTCCTCTGGCAAGGTTCCACTGCCTCACAAAACAGCCTTCTTCCTCTTACTGGAACCTGGATCAGCCCTGCAGACCATACCCTTCCCACCATTACTCCATCCTTTGTGAGACTCTCCACTTCATTGACAGCCACAACCTCTGGCCCCTCACTGTTCTTGTCATCAGCCCCCAGTCCCTGAGCACCCTGCCAACATCTGGGTCTCTGCAGTGTCTCATCCAGCAGCCTGGCCTCTCTGTTCCTGGTCCTCATCATTTTTAAACTCATCAGCTCCACCCCCTTTCTTCACTTTCTTTCCTGTTGAGTCTAAAGTCATTCTTCTCATCACTTGCCAGGTAAAACTCCAAATAGGGATGAATCCAAAAGTCCCCTTTCTTACACCAATACCAGGGCTGCTGAAGGATAGTAGAAACCATCACACAGCTGCTATCAAGGTCCTCAACTGACTCTCAAAGCCACCTAGTAGATCTCCTCGCCTCCTTAGCCTTCTTCCTTGAGCCTCTTCGACTCTCTTGAAAATTTCTAACACCTTCTTCTCAAGATGACCTTGTCTCTTTCTTTAAACAGAAAACAGGAAGCACCACATGGG